TTTTGGTTTTAATAATGGATGTTCCATAATTTAGCTACGCAAATTTCGAAAATAATATTAATTTTTTATAAATCGGAAAGAAAAAACTTACTGAGATCAAATTATTTCGTTTACCACAATGAATATTTTTATTATTACGTTTGTCAACAAAAATACAAACAAACTCAAGAAAAGGGAAGAACGTTGATGTCAAACAAATATGCATCCTCATTCATCTTGATGTTTTTTGTGAAATCTACGTCTTTTAGTCTCAAAACTACGTGTTGTAGTCTTTCTTTTATGTATTGCATTATGAAGTTTTGTGACAAGTCTGTATGTGATGGAGAAAAATGGATTTCATTTTGGATTCAGCATACAGGAATTACTGTAGAACATGTAAAAATTTCAAAACAATAAAACCATTGCAAGCCTGTGTAATTAAAATATATGAGTGAAAAAAAATTGGTTGCTACTATCCTAATGGAAAAAAAAAGGGTTTTTATAGAAGACATAGATACTGGTTTGTACAATCTTATATAGTCTTTCAAACTTAATTTTAATATTATTAAAATCAAGTAATTAAATTAAATAAACATTTACAAAAATCATTTCTTCTACCATTTATTTACTTAAGTTTCAACTTGTGTAGAATTATAGCTATCTAATTGTGTAAGATTCAATAACAAGAATTCATTTTTAGTAAATATTCTGTTCTTTGTGTAAAACGTTTCCCACCTACACAGGTGTTTCAGTTTCTTGTGGTATACATTTATGAATTTAGATCCCGTATCAGAAGTATCGTAAATTTCTAACAATATAATGCATAAATGTATACATAATTGTTTCTTAAGTAGAGATTGAACTTAGAAAAAAACAAGGCAACACAATTTTTTTTTATCTGTTTACCTGTTACTTTAATTGAAGTTAGAATACATTATTTGTAAAAAAAAATGAGTCTAAACTATTATGTATTAGTACATGCAAAATTTGATTTTCACTTGTTTTTAGGGAAAAAAGTAATATTTTGACAAATTAATTTAATCCTATTCTTTTTTTAATATTTTCAATGTTTACAGGGTGTGCTAAAAATGAATCCCAGGGACTACAAAGATTCCTATATCAGTGCACCAATAATCCTTGGTAACTTATTTTTTTTTCTGTTTATAAACAGTAGTAGGGTATTAACAAAAGTAGCTTAAGTTTAAGAAACCAAATTTTTAGTGGATGTACACTATAAAATAGGACATTATTATTGTAGGATAATGATGATAACTTTTGAAACTTGTGCTTGCTCTTTCTATATATATATACTATAACTTCCATACTATAACTTTTACAAAACTTGGTAAGCTTTCAGTAAACATTACAATTCTTTTGTACATAAAAAAATTACATTTTTTTTATTAAAAGAGTTTTTATTAAAGTTTTGTTCGCGAATATATGGAATCAGAGTGTTGGTTGCTCCGAGTGTATACATTTAAAACCTCCTAGATAAATATTAAACATTTTTTTTTTTTACAATTATTCTGCTGTTTTCTCTACCCTAACTCTATATGAACTCCGTTGATTTCACCGACCTTATAACCACCATAAAAAAAAATGTGGAATAAATCTAAATTGCCCATTTTTCTTTCTAGAATGTCTGTAGAGTGTAACAGAAAACTAAAGTTGTTTATTCTAAATAACTTAAAGCTTGTAACAATTTACATCTGTTTATACTTGATTTTATTGTTTTATTGCCCTTTAACCCATGTATAACTAAAAATCCCACCACACAAGTTGTAAATCACTCGGCAAACATGTAGTTCATGTTACCATATTGAATGAAATAACAAGCTGCTTGCAAGCATACCTCATAAAAAATTATTATTATTATTAGTTATCTTATCTAGTCTAACCTCATCTAATCTTATAATTTTTTAATTTTAACATTTTAGTTTCTTTTATAACAATAAAGAATATACATGAAAAACCAGAAATATAGTACTTACCTTTGACCTCTTGTTTTTTGCTGTTGGTTGACGACAAAATTTAAGCTTATGTTTTTATAATGATGGTACTATGATACTAAATAATTTGTATTTACTTTAATAATGTACCTAAAAACACAAAATAATAACTCGTACAAAGCATATAGCTATTTTAATTGAACTGGCATTCTAACTATGGTATAAGAGCTGAAAAATAATGCTGTAAACTTACTGATCTGAACACTGTGAGAGAAACTTTCAAACTGCAGGTGAAATAGGCAGTACTCTCTATTGAAAGCAGTGTAATGTAATAAGTCATTCATTAGATGAAAACTTTGCCTTTTTTGTTGGTTATAAATACTAGAGTATAAAATGTCTGAGAGAATTATTGGCAATTTGTAAAAGAGAGAATGTGACAGGTGACTGTGGCAAGTGAGTCTGATCTTCTAGTTTATGACTCCATAAGATTGAAGGCCATAAAGGTTAGACTTTACCTTAGTAATATCTATTATAATAAGTAATTATATTAAATTCTTTACTTCAGAGAGGGGTGTTAAATAAATTAAAGGAGGAGGAAGACCTAGAGGCTAAACATTACAATTCTCATACTAAGGAAGATTTAAGTTTTTTAAATCTTTTTAGTACTTGTACCTGATGATGACATAAGCTTGTCAAAACATTGTACATTTGCAATAAAGTTGTCTCCAAACTTTATTTTATAAAAAGTGGGTTCCTCCTCTTCAAATTTGAACTCTATTGTTTGTTTACAAAAGCTGCCCAACTGTGATAATTATTTTTAATTTCATTTATGTCTTATTTTTAATTTTTTCATTTTACCCTGTATTGTTAGGGTACAGAAAATAACAAGTTGACTTGGTAAAGACTTTGGAAATTCATAGACAAAAACTTTAGTAAAGATACTTTGATGAAAAATATGATTTTTTGCATACAACATACGTGTAATGTTTACTAAAAACTTTCCAAATTTTGTGAAGATACATTTAGTATATTCAGAGTTGTGGTACTTATAGTTTCATATGGTGTTTACAAAGTTGGTCAAAATGACCGAGACTAAATTTAGAGAGTTAAAATTCAGCATTCAGTTTAGATAATAAAATCTGAATCTTTACTTATACAGCTTGTATTGAATTATATTCAAACATTACATTTTTCACTTCAAAATTCAAGAAAGATTACTGTTGTATGTAAAGGTACAGTTTCGTATCTTCTGGATCAGAAAGGAAGTAACTCATAGTAATTCATTTTCTTTAATAGTTTCATCTGAATTTTATCCAATTTGAAGGTATATTACATATAGGGAACTTACACAAAACAGTTTGAGAAGAACTTGTCTGTAGTTGAAAATTATATTGCAACATGAAAGTAATGAACAAAATTTTAATGAAACTATTTTATCATACAGAGAAATTGAAACTAGATAAAATATAATAGCATAATTCACAGTATAAATCCCCATCTCATTTCACCAGACTAATATATATATAAGTAAATATGCATATAATTTAATGTTACAAAATAAGCAGAAATATAAAACTAAAATAAGAGTACTTATTCATAAAATTTGTTTTTGTATTGTGTATTTCTCTTCAGTATTGATCTATTTCTGAACAGTCTGTGATCAGTTTTCTTTACAACTTTGTTACTTTTTGAATACTCAGTTTTGTAATGAATTTCTAGTAGCTACTTTTGGTGTTAGACAGAGGTTGAGTATGTTATATTGAAATTATTTTTGAGCCTTACTACACCATTACATCTGGTATTGCTCTGTCTGACAATTGTACATATTAACAATAGATCTGCAGCATAGTTTCCATTGCAAATGCTCCATTATAGGCTGTCATGTCCAAAACACATTCCTCCTCCCTACATTCTTTCCATATTTAACTCTTACTCGATGGGCTCGGTATAAAATACACGAGTTTGTATATGCATTTGTACTGTTAAGTATTTATACTATAACTTTCAATGTAATTTGTGTATCTTCACAAAATTTGGTAGACTTTTAATAATGATTACAAGTCTTTTGTACACAGATTGGTTTGTGAAAATATTGAGTCTGTTTCATTATTAGTCCGAGTGTTATGTTTACTTCACCTGTTAAAGGACTACGTCTTTAATGTTTTGTCTGTAAAACTTGTGCTTTGTTTCTAACACGTGATACTGACTACATTACATCTTTAAAATTTGGATTGAATGATTAAAAAACTATTCTTTGCCCCAAAAATCTCAATAGGGCGATAGGGTTAACTAATGTATGAGGATGACGGTTTCTCAATGCCCATTTTAAAAATCGGAGAAATCCATAGGCACAGCATCTGGTGACTTTATTGGGTATTTCTTTGTATGGAATAGTATGAATGCACATTTCTTTCTCCAGCTGCTTGAGGTATACAATGGTTGAATGGGAGGTATGACTGTCAGCCTTATTTTGGTGAACCTATACCCAGATGGCCTCATTTCCAGATGAAGATCCTTCATGATTATGTTGTGTAGTAATGCCTGGAACATGTGGATGGTTTTAGCCACTGACCTTTATTTTTATGAACTCTCGCCTGTTAAAGGACTACATCTTTAATGTTTTGTCTGTAAAACTTATGCTTTGTTTCTAACACATGATACTGACTACATTACATCTTTTAAAATTTGGTTTGAATGCAGCACTTTGCTTACCATGCCTGGGGTGTGACTTGTTGCAGGTCTGTTAATGGATTGTCCTGAATCCCAAGTTGATCCATTTTCCTTTGTTTTCTAATGTTACTAAGTACAAGAGATTCCCCAACTTGGAAATTCTAAATTCTTGATCTGAACACATCTTCGTGAATATGAGCGTATAAATATCTTGCACAACAAACGACTCTTACTTACCCTTCCCAAAAGTGATCAGTTTTTAGTAGCATCACACTATCTGTGAAATGTTAAGCAATGTTAAATTGTAGTTCTGATATGTTATGTTGGCAGAGGTTGTCATATGACTTGCTGACTTGCATGTTCAAAATCATCTTAATATAACATACACGACCCTCTGTAATCACTTAAAGAGATTTAATAACTCAACCTGTGAAGTTTTTATGAATCATAATGCTGTTTCAATCATCTTTATCTAACCTGTTTATCATGCTGAACCTAGGTCGATCAGATGGACATTTATACTGGAGACACAAGTGATGAAAGTTTCCTTTCTGAATGATTTTGGTTTCTTCATTGGTCCATGTGAAAAAAGTAGGTAAACCTTTTCTATGACTTTGCACGTAGCCAGGAGAAAATGTGTCGGCTATTTTGGAGATAATATTACGTGAAGGAAAAGTTTAATTCATAGAAATGTTTTACATCTTTTAATGCTTTTTTCTAATGTTCAAAAAAGAAAAAAGTAGAATAAAATATATAAAGGACTACTGTTGCTATGCATAGAAATGCAGTGATGAAAGGTGTCATAAATGTGTTGGTAAATGGCTGAGGGTTTGTACCCCCCCCCCCTTTATAACACTTGAATTTTGTCCAAGTAGTTCCTGGGCCTCTAAAGGAAACGGCTGTGACAGTTGGATCTATTTGGGGCTCTGTTAGAATTTAAACTACATTAATAAATATCTTTTGGAAGTGTAGCAAAGATAAAGCTTTGTCTAAAGCATGTTCAACAAACTAACTTTTTCATAGTACATTGGTTTGAAAAGCACTTAATATTCTCCCCTGAATTTGTGTATTTTTTGAAAACATTACATTGTTTCCATTTTTTTGTTTGATTTAATTGATTGCCATGTCTACTTTTAATGATAAATGGCTGGATGAAGGAGAGTACAAGTCATGACTGGATAAAGCTTTTTGCTTCCCCTCCAAAAAAATCTGCAGATTTTCTGATAATGGACAAATAGCTCTAATTAGTCACACGAAAGAGAAAAATCACTGACTTGGCAAAATAAAGGTTGGAGACTTTTTGCTAACAAATCAATTGAAAGTTTAAGTTCAATGGCTCCTGTACATTTAAAACTAAGCACACCTAGCATTTCCTAAATATTTCCTAAAATAGGTTCCTTTTAAAATCGTCATCTTCTTTTTATAAGCTGCCATTCAAACAGACGTAATTAAAATACTAAAACCTGTGATCAACAAGCTAGAAATTCATGATAACTATAGCACTGATGCTAAATCCTCACTTAGAAAAAGTATTTTATCTTTAATCCCTTATCATCTATGGAAGGTTTTTTTTCCATTACTCTACAATGCTTTGACCACAACAAACCAGGCCGTGGCACTTAAATGGTGCGCCGAGGCACTTGGCATATATATATATGGGTGGAGATGATTAAGGGTTAATAATTCATTATAGTCTTGAAGATTATCCTTGAAAATTCACTCTTTCTAGCCTTGAAAGTCCGTGAATTTTGTGTTAATAAAAGATGTATGAACCCTGACAATGGCTGCTTCACAAAACAGCTGCCTGCTTCATTCTCTAATAACATACTTGATATTAAAACAAAAATACAGAGTTGATAAAATTGCAAGTTCTAAGGCAAACTCCTTGCCCTTTAGCACTGATTGTTTTTAATGTTTCACTTCTAAGTCACCTTGTAAACAAACCATGTATTTTAGATAATTTGATATTGTAAGCATGTCAAGAAGCTTGAAGAATATAACTTTTCTTCTTTGTCTGATGTTATTTGTTTCACGGGCTTTAAAAAACATGTTTGTAAAGTTTATTAGTTTTCTAGACCAGCAGTATAACTGTTTCCCCCCCTTGTATGAGAATATAGACAAAAACTATATTTTCTCGCCCTTGTTATCACAAACCTTGAAATTTTAATTGCTATGGATAACTGGTTTACCACAACCTTGTTCTAAGATAGCCACACTCCCCCTTCAGTGCTGCTACACCACCCCAGGGATGTGTGCTCTACAGGTTGGGAATCAGTGATTTAGACTTTCAGAGAGAATAACTTGAAGTACAAACAGTTGTCGACTCAAGCAAAATATTTTTTATTGCTGTGATATTCTATAGGCCAGATTCAATATATGTATACTGTAGCATGGTTTGTTCCATTGGTAGAGTTCTAAGTACATTTTTTGGCATAAAACATTTAATTTTGAGTAAGTTGAGTTATTTTCTCCATACTTTTAAAAATCAAGTAGGAAGTCTTGTAATTTTCAAATCTGTTTCGTTGTGTAGTTTCAGTCTGTGGTGCTTGTACCTTGATGGTCCCTTGCAAAGTTCAATCCCAGTACCCCTATCCTTACCAGTAGTACCACAACTTTTAAACAAGGCATGAACTACTCTATGTATTTATAATTGGACATATTATATTTAACTACAGTAATTACAAAAATATAAACTTACAGAGATATTTAGACTGTTAAAAAGCTAGAATTGACATTAATTGTAGTAATAAAAACCAATGAAAGGGAAGGAAAACTCATATGAGAAATGGATAATCGTATTCTCGAGAGATGACGGTTTCTACGTGGATAATCACATTCTCGAGAGACGATGGTTTCTATGTGGATAATTGCATTCTTGAGAGACGATGGTTTCTACGTGGATAATCGCATTCTCGAGAGACGATAGTTTCTACGTGGTTAATCTCATTCTCGAGAGACGATAGTTTCTACGTGGATAATCTCATTCTCGAGAGATGATAGTTTCTACGTGGATAATCTCATTCTCGAGAGACGATAGTTTCTACGTGGATAATCTCATTCTCGAGAGACGATAGTTTCTACGTGGTTAATCTCATTCTCGAGAGACGATGATTTCTACGTGGATAATCGCATTCTCGAGAGACGATGGTTTCTTAATAAATAGAAACCCAACTGTATTATTTATAGGTGTAATCCTTCAATAACTTGGCTTGTAGTACTCTGAAGGTTAATTTGATTTGTTGCCAGGTTGATTCAAATAAGTAACGTAACTGAGCCATAGTGGCAGAATACTCTGGCTGCTTTGCGGCCACATGCAACTGCATGGGTTGCGTGTGCCGAAAATCACTAGTGGGAAGTTTGCTGCAAGATATATGATATCACTGTAATCTCGTAGTAGTTGAAGGGAGTCTAAATGTCTTGTGACTTAAGCACACACTGTATTTCTTGTTATAATTTTAAGAGAGAGAAAGAAAACAGATTAACAAACATATGTTTGTATTATAATGTCTCTGTAGGTTTTAAAGAAGCAGCAAGTTTGAATGAACCACAGCAGCCACTAGATATCAAAAACCTTGCTGGAAAGAAGCTTCAACTTTCAGCCCTTTCTGAATTAATTAAAATTATTGAAAGACAAGTGAATGCTTGCTTTATTGTTTTTTGTGAGAGCTTTAAATAAGTTTAGTATTTAAAAAGAAAGTGACTGTTTGTTTTTTGTTTCTCCACTTTTATGCATCATTAATACATGTAAAAGAAGCTTTTTTTTGAACAGGTGTATATTGTTAATGACCAAAAGGGAAAAAATTAGCATAAGATGGACAAACAGTTTCGACTTCAGTTTTTCTTCATTGCAGATGTGTGTTGCTGTGATGTTTTCATTTCATTTGAGTTCGTAATACTGCTTTTTTTGTATGTGTCTAGATCTAAAATCTACCTCATTTTTTTGCATAATTATTGTAACATAGGTCTAAAACCTGCATTTTCTGATTGAGAAATGTTTAGTCTTCAGTAGCTACCTATACTTATGCTCCACAGTCTACATTGTTTGGCTTGAACTGGGGCTTAAATATTCCTCTTCGTATATAGTTGTACTTTTAAATAGCCAACACGTAAAAAATGCTTTTAAAAAATCTAAAAAATGATTACCTGATAATACACCTTACATCTGTTTATAACACTTCAGATTTGTTGTTGTTCCCTTAATTACAATTCTATTCTGTTTCATGTTTACTTGTTTTAAAACTTTTTATTTCTGTCTAAACTCCATATTTTATTGGCTGTTTGTTAAAGTGTTCAGAGCAGTTTCATTTTTATAAGATGTTAAGCATTTACATAATCTCTGAAAGGAGCTTGTAAAATCCTTCAAAGCATTGAAATGATAAAAAAAAAAAGATTCAAATTGGATGTGCCATACCACTAGTTAAAATTACAGAAAGTTTCTGTGACTGATGGGGGCCAAGATTGTTTCTGTTAGGAAACTGCTACGTTAGTGCAAACATTTGTTTTTCTCCTATGATATTTTAGCTATTGTTTTAAGCTCAAAGGAAGGTTAGTTTTCCTTACATTCCAACTTTCACTCTGATTTTTTTTCTTTGTTTTTATCATTGTTATTATTACCTCGCATGTAGCTAGACTCTTTGGTAATATTAATAGGAATTGGAGATTTAATCTTGTGATTTAGGGTTAAAAATTAAACTGTGGTAAAATATGAATCATTGAAATTTCGTTCATTGATGAATAGCAACTAATTATTATGAATAAAAAATGCATGGTGATTATTATTATTATTATTTTTTTTTTAAATTAAGATCCGCATTGTGTTAGTGTTTTCACAAAACTGAAAAAAATATATATTGCATGTTGGTCCAACACAGGTTTTCAGTAGACTCTGTATTAGAGTGAAATTCAAATTAAGGATGCTGGTTTATCAGTTTCACTTAACTTTGTTAAAAGATAAACTTTTATTTAGCCAAAAAATGTTAAACTTCTCTACTTGGTCCAAAGACTAAAGTAAGATAAGCCTACATGCCTCCTAGGATTGCAGTTCTGTTGGCTTTTTTTTTTATTTTCATGTTTTTTGCATATTCTCTTAGAATAGTTATTTAATCAAGATGTATCTAGTCAAAATGTTCTGCACAATTTGAATTTGCTCTGAAAGTATATTTGTATATAATTGTATGTATGTAAACTAATGAATTAGTGAAGACTGTGGGCAACAACTACTTTTTTATCACTCCTATTACATAACTGTTAGATTTGTATACAGTGAGTGGAAGAGGCCAAAAGTTTAATTGTGATCATTGATTGTTCTCCTCAGAGCGGGAAAAATATTACAATATAATTATTATTTTTTAAATTATAAATTTTAAGTTGGAAAAGAACTGATGGTGTGAAGGGTTATAAGAATAGTTTATTGGTGTTATTAATTCTCAGTTTCTTAAGTTTTTAAGTAGGCTTCTAGTAAACAAGAATTTTTTGAAATGATGGCACATTCCTGCTTTGTCTCCATCTTAATTACTTCTTCAGATTTAAGTTATACATAGAATTGAACCTCATTGTTAAGCTTTTCTTGTAGCTTAAGTTTTAGTATCTCTCTTTTTTTTCCTTATCGGAAATGTTAGCAAATAATTGAGAAACATTCCAAGAAAACTCAAACTCTGTGCAGTTCGTGTCTTTGATAATAAATTCCAATCCAATTGTGCACAACTCTAAAAAATCATTCCGTGAAAAGTTTTGCCAGGGATCTAAAACTTTGTAATACAGAAAAATAATAATTAAATTTCTAAAGTTT